CCAGGGTTCCTGCACCAGTCTCTTAAAACAAAATAATAATAGTGAAGGAGAGTAATATGCATGTGTTCCAAAGGTCAAAATTCTAAGACTTGCTGGGCAGTGGTGGTGCACACCTTTAGTCTCCACACTGAGGAGGCAGAGGCAGGTGGATCTCTGTGAGTTTAAGTCCAGCTTGGTATACAGAGCGAGATCCAGGACAGGCTCCAAAGCTACATAGGGACACCCTGTCTTGAAAAACCAAATAATAATAATAAAAAAATAATAACAAAATAAAATATTAAAAATTCTAAGACTTATAAAAGAACAATAATAATAAATATAAATAATAAATAAGAGCAACAATACTAACAAAAATAATAAATAAATAAGCAACAATAATAAAAATAATAAAAAGAACAAATAAGTTCCTGTCCAATTCCTCCCCATGCTAAGCTTTGCTCCTCAGAGACAATGAACTACTAACTTTTTTTTAGCTCTGTCTTTTGGAATGTACTTCCATTTTTCAAATGAGATATATACACTATTTCTTGATTTTAAGTTCAAACATTATCTACTGACTTTGAACAATGAAAGATTTCTCTGATACCACCTTCTCCATCTTCCAATATACTTAGATCGATATTATATCATGTTTCGGGTTAAATCATTATATAGTATTTATATATTCTAATAAGGATAACCACTGAAATCGTCTGCCCTCTGAGACACCAGGATCTTTTCTAGAGCTATCTCCTGATGAGGTCTTGCAATTGAACCTGCTGTGGGCAGGAGGAGCAGTCAAGGAGAGCTTGATACATGAGAAGGGAGATGGGCTGGCTACCGGCTAGTGGGCCTAGAAGAGCCCTGGCTGCTTTCCACACAGGGTTCCCAACAGGGGGGCCCAGCAAGCAAAGCTAACATAAAGCCTTCTGCAGGAGCCCAAAAGAGACTAGAGGCTGAGGACCACAGAGGCTGACGTCTAAGCAGATGCTGGCCTCATGGGCAGAGTTCTGGAGTCCCTAGCAATGACCGGGCTTAAGATACTCCTTTTTAAAAGGAATATTTAAAATATTTAAACATTTTAAATTCCGTGTATAGTGTTGGCGGGTGGCACATCCATGTGAGTGCCCGTGGAGTCTGGAAGAGAACATCAGATCTAGAACTAGTTACAGGAAGTTGTGAGCTGCCCAGCAGGGGTGATGGGAACCAAAAAAACGATGTTCTGTGTAAGAACAGTAAACACTCTTAACTGCTGGGCCAGGTTACCAGCCACACGAGGGCATTTGTTACTTGCATCATTATTAGAAACACTAAAAAACTGAGAAACAACAAAATCCCCATCAAAGAACACTCCAGTGATTGACCCAATGACTATGGACGGTAAGCCAGGCGGGATTTAGGCAGACTCACCAGATCTGCTGAACTTGTGGTGAGAAGAAAGTCCAAGCCAGGCAAGAGGAAAAACCTGGGAGGACTCTCACTCAG